TTAATTTTAAGTGATTCTTTTTCCCAAGTCGATATCCTTGATACTACTTAAAAGGAAACAGCACTCTTAAATTGTAAGCACTTTAATTTCTGTATGAAAGGATAAAAACTATTTCTATATGAAATAAGTTCAATGGAAATTAGCTTCATGTTGTTATTTCTATTGTAATAGGTACTTGGATTATATCTTCTTGTTACATTCAGGTGTAAGACAGCGATCATGGAGGTAATTTTGTAGGTTTTTTTTTATTTTCAAGATGAAACGTACATGTCAGACTTGGGATTTTGTTCAAAATTGGAGAACAACTCATCAGAACTTCTAGATGAGGTTACATGCTAGAGACTGTGAAATTCAAAGCCGTGCCCTGCTTGTGCTTAAAAGATTTTCATGCTTGTAATAAATCAGTTCATCATCAGTCAGTAAACTGTGTTTGGAGCTGGAGTATATATTTAGAAATCAGCCTAGAAAAGGAGAGAGAAAAATGCTTCAGCATATTTGGTTTATATTTGCTTTGTCTATTTGGTGGATATAGTTTTTTCAGCATTTGTTTTCAGCATTGTATTTTGCAGTGGCAAGTGGGATTTAGCATAGAGGGATGCTGAAGGGTTGAAATGACTCATGCTCTTTAATAGCCTCAGCCTGTCATCCCTCTTATGTCCAGTCTCTCCAAATTTTTGTTTTAGCCTTTCTTTTTCTTACTACTGCAAAATTTTAGTGTGATCTGTCAATTACAGTATTTGCAACCTCTGTAATGCCATATAATACCTGTTTTTGTAAAACCAGTCTGAAAGAAAGTTATAGCTTTTCTTTTAGGGGTCTTTTCAACACAGATTGAATGGAGACAATCACAGAGCAGAAAGCTTAGGCTCTTAGGCTAGAACCTCCCTCTGGTTCCATATGTTGAGTTCACTGATGGTAGTGATTAAAAGTTCATGGTAAAATGTGGTCTTTAGCATCTGGCAGGAATAGGCCAAAAGTATTAGGTTGCATAACACTGGTGTAGAGTTTTTTGTGTATGCAGTATAATGGATTTTTTTCTTTGTACCTGTGTTTTAGTAAAGCATTATTCAATCACAAATTATATTCAGAAATATATATTACTTAAGGATTGGTTTTGGCAACACTACAATTAAATGGTTTGTGAATAAGGTACTTTAAATATTGACAAAAGTTGGAATTGTATTAAGCTTTGAGCAGCCATTTTCTGATTCATTAGAGTTAGATTATAAAATTGATAATAACATTATAGATAGTATTAAATATAAAACACCATATTCAAAAGTTGGTATTTTTTCAAATCACATTAATAGAAGAGCCTATTTAGAAGATAAGATCCTTACATCTCCATCTGTGTGTTCATTGTTATGGGCCAGTTAGCAGTTAGTTACGGGGAAACTTCATGATGTCAAAAGCTTATCATTTTATGGCTCTCTCTGATTTTTCCTCTTGAATGCCTCTATCTTCTTGTCATACTCAAAAATGACAGCTTCTGTCTTGCCAATGATACACGGTCTAAAAATCTATTTAACTGCCTTTGTTTATGACTGTTTTGAAAAGCAGTGCAAGGCTAAAAGTATTTTATTGCTGAAAAACAGCAACTTACTCTATTTTACAATTTTCTGGGGTATAGGCCCAGAGTTGCATTGGTTAACATCAGGAAAGTTGATTGGAGGTGTCCTTGATACTGATTGTGCTATGGATTCACCTTATTACAGTAATTTTTATAATATTTCATAAAATCATTTTTGTTAGTGTACATTAACTTCACAGATGTCTTACCATAATGTCACTCAATATCAAAACATCATCATGACCTTTTAATAATTTATATCTAATAATTTGGAACAACTCATATATTTTATCAAAATATTAAAACCAAGTACTTTATTCTTAGTCAGAGGTAAGTCCATTTTATGCAAGTCCCCAAGATTTTCAGCTGGCTGGAAGTCCTCTTCTTTCTCACTATGGGTACAGTAAGCTTTGTATGGTCAAGACTAGATTCGTCCATTTGATATTCTCCTTGCAAAAATTTGCAGTAGTATTTAAAATGGAATTTTATTTTTAGAATGTCTGAACAGATGAACTTTCTGAATAATGAGGACTTGGTACATGTTTTAGAGGCTTTGGTAAATTCATCAAGTTGTCTAGTTTCTGTTGGTTTAAGTCAATTATTTGTAATAGAGTTTCACAATTTCTTGAGGGTAACCGTTGTTTTCTCACTGCCACTTGCTTGTACGAGCTGCTAGTTCTTCTGTTACAATTGGACTTTGTTAAGTGTCATATGAATAAGGCTTATACTGTTATGTTTAGATTAAGTTTGTATTTTCTATACTATGCTATTAACATTAAAATAATTCTTGCTTAAGGAGTAATACTAGCTTGGATCTCAGTTTACATGCAGGACATAAAAGTTTTGTATTTACGTAAAAAGGCTGGGGATCCTTGCAATGCCAGTGCTGTTAGGGCTATCCAAAAGGGATTGAAGACATAATTCTCATATCCTAGAGATCACCAAAGGCTCACCATCTTCAAGGCTAATCAGGAAGTTGCTGTGTTAATTAGTATTTAACGAGGTGCGAGTGAATCAGAAGGAGCTGAAGAATACGAGGGGAGCAGGCAGGTTTGCAAGGGGTTGAGAAACAGGGGCAGTGGGATGGGGAAAGGAGATAGATGCCAGGAGTTCCAGCTAACACCATTTTTTTCCCCCGTGCCTGTGGAAGACATTAGTAAAAATGCCTGTAGGCATCAAAGATGCATTGTTGGTTGTGGTAATCAGGCTTCTCCTGCATGGCGATCCCCAGGAAAGCTGCAGAGAGCTCCATCCCAGAGGGACCACCTGCTAATGCCATATTACAACTGTCTGCAATAATTTCCTTCTACGTGCTATAATTGAACATCATCCATTATCTGCCACTCAATCAGTATCCACGCCAAAGAGGAGATTTGTGTAATAATAAAGAAGTGCAGTTACTCTTGCAGCCCCTGGGAGGGAAGGACTGAGAGCAGCCCATGCTGGCTGGCGGCCATTTACCGCCAGGCTGGAGCTGCCTTCAGCTGGGGGGGGGGAAGGCTAACACCTTTCAGGTGAGGGAGATGATCCCCTGAAGACCAGCTGTGGCCTAGGGTTTACACTGAGTAGGCAGACTGGCTGCTTTTCCTCCCTGGTGAGGCTGAAAATCTCTAAAATAAGCAAACTCAGCCAGGCCAGGTGGGAGGGTGGGGCCCAGTGTGTGGTTGCTGTAACATTGGGGTGGCCAAGGGGTTTCTTGCTGGGAGCTGTGGTGGGCTGAAGGCTCCTTTGAAACTTCTCCTGTGGGACTGCTTGGAAACTCTGGGGGGGGAATTCCCCTTAGGTTTCTTGGAGAGAAGCTGTCTTTTACAGGTGGAAATGAACAGGTGAGGGGTTAAAAAAAAAAATAAAGTAATTGAAGACACTGTTAGAGATGCTGTTCTGGGTGGTGTATGGTGTTGAAATGGTGTGCAGCAGGTGAGAAGGCTCAAGAACACTGTCATTTTCTGTTGTTAAAGCATCTTAATTTCTCACTCATTTATAATTCAGAAAACCAAAATGAAATAATCTGTATGTGAAAAAGTATTAATATGACATTAGAAGCTTATAAAACATAGCAGGAGGTGCTTTCCTGTGCCTTAGTCCACCTCATAGAACAAGGTGGCTGATGTGGCAGAGTGGCTTCTATCCTTCTGCCCTTTTGTCTGGCAGAAGGGAAAGATAAAAGAATATTCTTCCTATGTACTGGCAAGGTTAACAAACTCAGGATCTCAAATCAAATAGGAGTAATATCTCATTTTCTGTGGCAATTTCTTCTGATGCATTCAGTGGAGGTGGCCTTGCAGGGCTCTGCTGAAGCATGTTATGGCAGGAGGTCCTGGGAAGGGAGAGGGAGACTTTTACGTGGTGTTGTCTTCAGCAGCAAGTGTGGGCTAAAGCCCATGTTTTTCACCCCACTTGGTATTTAGTTGGAGCTTAGTGGAAGCTTGTGTAGACCATGAAGCACTTGCATACCACAATTCAAACTTGTAAGCAGGCTGAAGTGGGATCTTCTGAGAAGTCCATCCCAGGTTTATTTTCACAGAGAGTCTTATCACAGTAATTTATTTTTGAGATAGAAAAGGCATGGGTGATTGAGGCAGAGAAACATACCTGCTTGCCAGCTATAGATAGTGAAAATATTTTCTGTGAAGGTTAGGATTGTACAAAATAATTGTCGTACTGTTTTTTTCATTCTGTTGTTAGATGTTTACATGTTGCTTGATCTCAGACTGTACCATAAACCCAGGCAATGCGCTGCTACTAACAAACCTAAATGGTGTCTGGATGGAGCTAATAGGAGTTAAACATGTAAACACAGAGAATGTAGGTTTAAGTGTACTAGTAGTTACAGAAGCGTTCATTTAACGTTTGTTATGAGCTACTGTTGTTTTTTTTATGAGTAATAGGGGAGCAGTTTACAGTTGAACTACTGTACAGAAAAGGAGCTGTGTGGCTTCGGATGGAATATTTGGTGCCTCAGGCAGTTTTGTAAATGTTTTCTGTTACAAATAAGTTTAACAGTATACATTAAAAAGGATGTGTATTTAAACCTTTATGGTTCATACCACGTTAGGTGGAATTACAGTAAATTACTACATTTCATTTCTGTAATTATCTTTTAAACTGCTAGTTGATATTGTCCTGAAGTTTATGTTCAGCACATTTTAACACCAGTCATATTTTGGACAGCTTGTATAAACTCATTTGATTGTCTCTTAGGGGTATAAAATTACATACATATATATATTTTAGAAAAGATATCTATTAAAAACCATGAGAGTTACACACCTTTGGATGACTGCATGTATTATTGAGAGGGGAGGGATCATGATAACCTCCCATGCTGTGATTATGAGTATGCACAGAGCAATTTTCCAGGCACTAATATAAATATATGATTATGAAACATGGTCTTTTCCTTTTATTTTATTTTTTTCCATTCCTGTAGGAACTTGGAAGTAACAGCCCTCCGCAGAGGAACTGGAAGGGAATTGCTATTGCGCTGCTGGTGATTCTAGTTGTTTGTTCACTCATCACTATGTCTGTCATTCTTTTAACTCCAGGTAACCTGCTTCTTTATTTTATCTTACTGAAGGTGTATAAATCATATTACAGTTATTAAAATGACATATAAATGTTAAAATATCTCTTCCCCTTCAGCAGTTTTAACTTCTGGGTACTATAAATTTGGTGCTTGTAAGATATGAAGAGTTACTGGAAGCCTCGTGGAGCAGAAGCATTTGGCTTTGGCAGTAGGTCCTTAGAACTGTGTCAGCCTTGAGATGGCTATGAGCAATCCTCTTTAGACTTAGCAGGTGTAAGCTGACTTCAAGATTTTGTCACTTGTGTCTTGGTGCAATTTCAGATTCACAGATATGCTAAGAGAAAGCTGTATGTCATGGAAAACTAATACTGAGAATGAATTTTCCTGCTGAATCAGAAGCATTCATTTTTCATATGTATATGCACAAACTTCTTCCATTTTCTTTCTCTCGAAAACAAAGAGAGGGGGAAATTACTTAAAGGCTCATCTACAGAAAAAAAAAGAGGGAGGTGGGCAAAAAGTAGACAAAAAAAAGAAGTTGAACACCTAAAATAATTGTGCTTTTTTTTCCCCTCCTAATTTAATCCGAGTTATTTTTCTGAAGATTTTCTCTTTACTGCTAGGGTAGCAACAATTTAACTGTCTATGAACCGAAGAGAAGGAAGCACTGCTCAACTTTTAAAGAAAAAATTATCTTTATTTTTTTCAGATTTAAAATTATAAGGTAAAGTACCTGATTAAGATGTCACACCTAGATAGTAAATATTGGTCTGCAGATGTTCTGCCATGCAAGTTCCCAGTTTGTGTAAACCAAAACATTAATGAAGTGCTTTTTACTTAACTGAGAGTTCCAAGCAATTTGGCCACTGGATGAAATCAGCAAGGGAAGCTGGGTGAGTCTGTGCATGAGCAAGTACAGTAGCAGACTGCTGCTGCTTGAAAGGAAGGTAGTGAGATTCAAAGGAAGAGGATGAAAAATCTTTTCTTGTCAGAGGGAACAAGACAGCTGGAGACAGTATGTAGGAATACGATGGAGTATTCTGTTTCCTCTGTTTTGTGTAAATATCTACTACATATGCATGGTGCCATCCCAGGAATGATAAAGAAATGATTGTTTGCTTATTTCCACTTAGAACATTTTGAGAAAAATAAAAGCAAAGTTGTGCTGCTGTAGTTTCATTGTATATGAGTTTCTTCAGGGACTAGTAAAAAGCAGATGTTGAGGGCAAATGGTGGTATATCTTGGCACACTTTTAAGACAGAAGATTGTGTTTTTCTTTTCAAGGAGAGGTAACTTTTTCTTTAAGGCTTGTAAAATCTCAAAAGTGTTATGTTGTAATTCACAATAATAAACATCAGTTCTGTCCTTATATCTGTGTAGAATTATTAATGATGTAAAAACATAAATTGAAGTCTTTGAAGGCACTTGTGGAAGAAAGAATAGGCAACCTAGGGAAATGTTTTTTTTTTTGTTTGTTTGGTTTTTTTTTGTTTGTTTGTTTTTTCATTTTTGTTTTGTTTTGTTTTTTTTTTTTGTTTTTTTTTTTGTTTTTTTATGTTAAAAAAGTTCTGTGAATTAGAACATCTCTGAGGCTGCTTCAAAATCCAGAGAGCTTGCTTGAAAATTTGATGTAAGCTGGGACCTACATTTCATCTCAAGTCATGCGAGTATAAACTAGATCTGTCAGCTCAGATGCCCTAAGATACCCAGCAGAGACTGTAGAGCTTGATATAAATAAAAACCTTTTCCCCAAAATTATCAAGGTTTATAAAACTTGGGTTTCTTGCAGGTTGGAAATGCTTACCAAAGAAAGCTTTAGAGGTACATTGTAAGACAGCTGCTTTCCCTATTTTGATCTTAATCAGTGCTGCTCCCGCTTCACTTTGATTAATTAATATATTTTTGGAAAAAAAGTATCGTGATACTCTGCCGCTTTGCTGGCAGGTACTAAGCACTGTAGCTGAAGTTAATCTGGTCTTGAAGATATAGAAGATGACTTAGGGATGCCTATCATTTGAGGAGGGGAAAAACTTGCAGACTCTCTCACAGGTCTGGCTATTGCAAGGTGCTCAGTTCTAAGGTGCTTCCAATCTTATTATATATAATAATTGGTTTTTCAAATTTTTCTCATAAAATATAATAGATCTGAATTAAGATGTTCAGTGCAATAGTGGAATTTTGTCCTCTATTACCTTGGGATAGTTGGGAGTGCATTGCTTTTCATTTCTAATACTATTTTGAGTATCAGAGACTTTTTTCCCTATTTAGTTCTGCCTGTACCAATGGGTGCATTTTAGATTTCATGTAAATTCCCCTAAACATGCTGCTTCTTTTTATGTGATGGTAATAATTTCAGATGGTGATTGCTCAGAAGCCTGATTGGTTTTTTTTGAAAGATCTGTGGAGGCAGAAGTGTATTTACTGATACGCCAAATTCAAAATAAATGGTCTCTTTTGCCTACAGTTATTTATACATTGCTTTGTCCACAATATAAAAAACTCTTAGGTCAGGGTACATGGTCATTTGACTTCACTCAAACTTTGAGCAACAGCTGTCATGCCTTTTTTTGTAAGAGGAATCAATGCTTCTGTATGAGATAACAAGCACTTAAAAGAGAATATTCCATGTAAGTTATATGCAAAAGGCTTCAAAGAGGCTTTAGGTTTTGCTAAAGATGTAAGTGGTATTAAAACTAAATAGAAATACTTGATTTTTTTTTCCTAGTCTTTTTTATTACATGAAATATAACTTGAACATATAACACTAAGCAGGAACCGAGTTGAAGTAAGAGATGTATTTTTAACCTACTATCTTAGCTTCTGTTAAAATATATCTGTGGTGCAGTTATGGTTGTGGTTTTAGTAAATTATACTAACAATATTAGTAATATTTTGGACCCCTTTATATTGCTTTCATCTCTGCTAATACTAGTGTTCTGAGCAAAGAGATGGAAGATCAGACCATTTAGTAACATGAGAGATTGGTATTAGAGTCTGAATAGACTCCCAGTCCACTAACCTCTTCTTGGGGCTCAACAGCTCTTTGTGAACCTCTGTGGACTAAGGAGTACATTAAAAAAGAACCCCATAGTACCCACCAAGCACAAATTGTTACACTGCTCTGTAGCTGGGAGTAGAACGCTTGCCGGCAAGTATCCCTGCTAGTTTTCTTCACAGTTATGTAAGTGCAATGATAAAGAAAGTGCGTGAAGATATCAAAGAATGAGGTTATTTGTGTTAAAGTAAGGGACTGGAATGTGGAAAAACTTTGGAGTTTCAGAATAGGAGCCTGTCTACCCTCTGTGGCAATTTAATTATGAATCCGGTGATATTTTTGTGTGTAATATTTGGAGTTGATTACTGGAGAAATATCTAAGAGAGAACAGAAGAAGAAAATACATTGGGAATAAACTTAAAAATGTAACTTTCTTTATATTGGGAATTAGTGGCCAGTGCAGAGACAGAAATGGCTGTTTATGAGATGCTATCATATGGGTTGTATGTCAATATTAACACAACACAGGTATCTTTCTTCTGCTTTTATTCTATTTAATGTTTTTGAAGTTCTATCACATACTTACATATACTGAAATATTCATAGGCAGATTTTCCGGGATCAGTGTCTCACTCCTGCCTTTAAATCAGCATGTTTTTGTGCTTTGCATCATGACAGTATGTTCCACATCATAGGAATTATCTGAAGACCTATCTGATCAACTACTGTCAATATATATTTCAAAACTGAGAAATGCTCAATTAGAAGTACTAGAAGCTGAAAAGTTTTATATGAAAAATCACCTAAGAACAGCCTAAGACTGGTACAGATGTTGCCACCCTTCTACAGGTATTTGCCACGACACTTAAGGCTGTTTTTAATTTTGGGAATAACAGTAGTTCTACCTTCATGTTAACTTACAGTTTCTGAAGGTGTGGCAGACTCAAATGTTATATGTGGGACTCTCTTACTGAGATACTGATGTTATCATTTATGCCATGCTTGCTGATACATGGTAATTACTTCTGAGAATAGTGGCATGTAATTTTAATCATACACACAAAGCAAACTCAGAGTTTGCTGCCTCTTGATGAAAAACAGAAAAAAAAAGACAGCTTTGCAGAAAAGTTCCTTTAGGGAACATTTAGGTCAGTCAAATTGTCAGAAAATGTGTTTTGAAATTGTTTTGAGTAAAATTAAGCTCTAGGAAGAGGATCCATTTGGTTTACATCCAACAGATAAATATTTTGCTTAGAACAGTGTTGGGACCAACCCCTCCGCACTATCTCTCATACTACTCTTAAATGAATAGAAAGCAAACTAAAAATTTTTTTTGCTGAAGTGGAGATTCATTACCAGAAGATTCAGGTTTCTGTTCAATGCTGTATAGGCTCCCTGTAACTACTGTAAATTGGCAAACAAGTTTCGATATCTGACTACATTCTGGCAAGTTGTTTTTCCTTTTTCATGCAAACTTAATATGAACTATGCTAATTCCCTGTTATTCATATACTTGTTAGCTTGCATACATTTTACTAATGGTGCTTTTCCACTTTTCAGACAGCATTTAGCATCAAGACTTTACCCTAATTTCTACTGTTAAAACTTTATTTTTCCACAGAAAAGTCAGTAAGGAGTTTGAGTTAATAATATACTACACTACATCATTATGAGTTTTATTTGCTAAGTTAGAAGGTAAATTTTATGAGGTATTTAGACTACTTTTAACCTGCAAAAATAATATCCTATAAAATCATGAAAAGTTACGAGGCTATTACTTTCTACTTTTGCAGTCTTCTAGTTTAGTAAGCACAAACAGGTCTGTCATTTTGAATAAATACAGACCAGTTGTTGAACTGTTGTTAGTTTGATGTATAGTTAAAAAGTAGTCATCTATTTTTAACATTTGATTTTTTTGTATCTTCTGTAATCTGTGTTCACTTTCTATACATAATATATATAATTTCAGAACGAAAATACAGAAATCAATGGGAAATATTGCGAGGACATTGGAAATACGATTCCTTCAAGGAATAGTTCAATAAAATTTAAAATGGGAATGAAAAAGAGAGAGTAGGCTATTTGGTAATGTGGTAATAAAGTGGAAAAAGGCAGTCTTTAAAATAAAACAAGTACTTTGTGAAGTACATATTAATTTGTGTTTATGTTCAGGAAGGATTAACACAGTACAGTGTTCTGAGAGTTCATATAATATGTAATTCATCTTGCTTATATATTAACTAAGCATTTTGGAAATGTAAATTACTATTTTAGAGTAGTTTGATGTCAAATCAACATTTTTTGTAAAAGTTATGCAATATGAGATATTGACAGAGTGGAAAGCTAGTGTTAAGGATTACAAACAAGGCTGTATTTTGGTAATGACCTGGCATTAGAAAAAAACTTACTTTTCAAACTTCTACTGAAGTTGCTTGAAGATGCCAATTGTTTTCAGTTTAGAAATATTAACAATTTAAAAAGCTACTTTAAAATCCAATTTATATCAAAATTACTTGGCAGGCATGTGAATTAGAACATAGAGAGCAGAAGCAGTATACCTTTCTTTGATAGCCTTTCTGTACACAGTTGATACATTGTTTTAGTGATCTTTATTATAGTAATTAATAAAAAAAAAAATCTGTGAAAACTAAATTGTCTTGGGTAAGACAATTTTTGGCAACATAACAGCTTGCATGTGCTTGATTGATAGTTGGCAAACTGGCCGGAAGTAAGGGGTCACAATAAATAGAAACAGACTCAAGAAAGGTTAGATGGGGAATCCTTTTGGGATCACAAACAGCGTCAGGACCAGGGTGTGTTGAATCAAAATATGTGATGGAAAACAGCTAATTGAGGGTAGGTAGTCAGCAAGGTTACGGAAAAGGGAAAATGGGCATGTGACGAGCCCATTATTTGGTATTAGGTTAGAAATAGTGTTTTCAAGACACGGAATGTATTTGTGCAGTTGAGTAGAGCATATATAACAACATGTGCTTACTTTGAAGATAAAACCTCAGTGTGTGGCAGGAGCAAGAGCTAACAAGGTCCCATGATGTGTAAACAGAGGGATTAGGTATAAATCAAGAGAGATAATGTTACTCTGCTGTAAAGCTCTAGTAAGTCTGCAAGTGGAATATTGTGTCCCATGCTGGACTTGGAGACCAAAAAATTACCCAAACAGGCTATTTTGATCCCTGAAAGGTAGGAAGAGGGCAAAAAGCTTATTTAAGGATTAGAACATTTGTCTTATGAGAGAGGATTTGAACAGCTCTGCATGCTTAGCCTTATAAGACATCAAGTGCAAGTAGAGTTGATTACGGTGAGTAAGTGCTTACCAGGGCCCTGCTGAGACCTGGGAGGGAGACGCATGCAGAATGCAGCAGCGCTGTGGAGTGAGCAGCGTTGATGGCCTTGTGTCTATTGTAAATTTATGGTGTGCATTCAAAAGGAGTTTTTCTTCAGTGCAGCAAGGATGCACCTTATTAACACTAACTGAAGTGATTGAAGCAGGCAATGCTGACATTTAAAGGCAAAGAAATCATATTGTTGTTGATTCCAGTAAGCTTTCAGCTGGGCCTCTTATTGATAAATTTGGCTGAATAAAGACCAATAGTGGAACTATGATTTACTTTATTCACTGTGAGGGGGTCACATTTTCATCTGAAATGTATTACAGGATATGACCTTTACAAAGCACATTTCTTTGTTAAAAATGTGCTGGTAACATATTGAGTTGACATCAAAATAACAAGATTGTTCCTTGACTGCTGTGATTCTATATATCTTTTTCCTATAGGTCTGTCATCAGTAGTGCTGTTTAATATCAGTAATCTGTAAGGACAAAATCTGACTAACAAAAAGATCTTCTCGTAGAGAAGGTGGATGCCTGACACATTGGAAGGAAAAGCTCATAGAGCAGAGAAATACTGCAGTAATTTGTGGCCAACCGGCCCAGTAATGATAAAATGATTAAAAGACCTGACTGGGCATCTGTCTGGTTGATTGTGTTGGAAGCACATAGGTGCATATTTTTGCCAGTGCACGGGCAATGTATAACGCAGCTTTTGGCAGCTGCTGTTCTCCTAAATAGCTTAAAGTGGTTAGGTGAAGTGCATAGCTGCTATCAGTGAATATTCTTTGGAAACTTTGTGTTTTGACAGCAAAACTTTTGCTTTAATAGTACCTCTCATTTCACATGTTAGTGTGATGGTTCACTATTGAATCTTCACTACTTATTATGTATTTAACCTACAGCACAAGAAAAGTACAATTTAGCAGAGCTTCTTTTTTCTTTTATGAAGCATGGAGATGATTTTAGGAACTGGCAATTTACAGTTTTGTTTTGAAAAATCAATGTTGGCTAATGTTCAGAAACACAATATTCCTAGGTTCTGTGATGTTTGGGAAAAACACAAGGCTGTTAGCCAAATGTTATGTTGTTCATATCACTATAGAGCAACCATAGACTATAAAGAGTGCATATAGAATTATTATTGTTATTTTTTTACATTTTAATTTGTAGGATAGGTGTAACTGGTTCCAAATTTACTTACAGGAGTATTTTACTTAGTTTCTGTCTATACAGGGTGATCAATATGGCTTATATCCTTTGGCTGTCAGGAAGTTTTTGAATTGGTTTGTAATCAGACTTTTCTTATGGTGTACAGCTGTGGGAAGAAGGAGCTTTGCCACTACAGTGCCACTATAATAAATAGCCAAGCACTACATCCTTCAGTCGTCCTGTCCATAAGATACCAATGCTTTATTTTCTGAAGCTTTACTGAAGAAAAATGAAACGTTTTCTTGTAGTGGAAAAAAATAAGATCACAGTATTGTTATGGATTTCAACAGGACCTTTGAACTATGTTTTCTGGCTCTGTAATTCTGAAGTTTTGCAAACTACACTGAACTTACTGTTTTAAATAACTCTAAAATGATCTTGTTGTGTTTATTTTAGATGAACTTGCAAATTCATCGGAAACCAGATTGTCTCTGGAAGATCTCTTCAGAAAAGAGTTCATAGTTCATAATCCAGAAGCCAAATGGATTAATGGTAAGTGTATAATCTCTCACATAATTTGAAACTAGGTAGTAATTTTGAGCATTGAATGATATCACAGGCACTAAGAAAGAATGAGTTAAAATTTCAAGCTCCCTTGAAATTGGCCAGTGTCTTGGTTTTCCTTGTAGTTCTGAATCATGTCTGTTTCATTAAGTGCTGAAGTGTCTTTCTAATTTTAAAGCTCTGTCTAGTATAAGCCCACTACAATTTTCTGTTTATGTTACTGTCTCGGTTGGAGGCAGTGATGAAGAATTGTTTTTAAGAACTGCATCTTGTTTATACATTCACAAAAAGATCAATTCAGAAAATTAAATTTTTCTGTTAATAGCTGAACTTCAGGATTTGAGAACTGGTTCTAACTTCACATCTAGAATGGGTTCTTAAATATTTCAGTATACTTGTACAGCTCTTAGTCATTTTCCGATGTCTACAAATTGTATTTAATGTTCTACTTTATTAAATGATTTATAAATGGTATGCAGATTCCCAAAGAATTATGCAGTTTAAATGTAAAATAGAAAACAAATTCAGGCTCTTTTTTCAACTCATTGAACTTTGTTTCTCTTGGTTGTTCACATATTTCTGTTTGCAAGAATTGTACAAGTAACACAATAGTGACCATCGATTTTGTGTCTTTATAGTTGGATCTCTGTATTACTCCAGGTTTTATAATCAATTACAATAGGCTTTGTGCAAAATTATTGTTAAGGAGTGCTCTGTGGAAGGTAGGAGTTTGGAAGTCTAGTAACTGTGTGTGTAAATTCAGAATAACTTTGTATGGGAAATAATGATTCAATTATATTAATCAACTTTGGTGTTCAGTAGTAACTAGAACTAGTTTTCAGTTGTAGGAATCTATATTGATTGAATTGAATTGTTGCTTTATGATATAGTCTAAAGAATGAAATGGGCATAACAAGGGTAAGTGTATTTCAAAAAAAGCTAAAAAGGGAGAAAACTATGGTCAGCCTATATTTTCCCAGGACCAGCTCTGGTGTTATTTGTTACCCAGTAGTTTAGGAGTAAGAGAGAGAAGGCACAACTTAGTTTCCTGCCACTCCCTTTCCCCCAGCTACTCCAATGACCATACAGTTGCTGAGATGTCCTTAGCTGCTTCTTTGGACTGGCTTCTGTCTGCAGTCAGTGCCAAAGACTTTGATACTAGGTAAAGCCAGAACAGTGTTATTGCCAGGAGGAACAGTTTCTTGTGTTTGGCAGAAGACTTTTTTCCAGTTAAGACTGTTGGCTAATTAATACCTAAAGCAGTTTTTGCTGAATTTGTTGTTATCTATTAAATTCACAAAGCAACTGCCTTTGACCCCACCTTATTTGTAAAATACCGCTCCTAATTGTCAAATAAAGTTATTGCAGACCCAGTATTGTCAAAGTGGTCTCTAAAAGCGGGTAAGTACATAATGGAAAAAGATCCTTATGTGACTTCTATACATTACTTTTGCTACTCAAAAGCTCCATGAGGTTACTCGTCTAAGAACACTAGTGGTCATAACGTGCATAATATTCTGTGCATAAAAATATTACTGATTTCAAGACTCAGGACAAGGAAACTAAAGGGTTACAGACTGAGTTATATTAAATATTGTTGGTAATATAAAGCATGTAGTTTATTTTATTTTTTAACTTTGTTCTGCAGCCTGTAATAAGATAAAAGCTTCTTTTAAGGGTTTTCCAGTTGTGGTAAAAAGAAATATAGAATTTACCACTGAACGTTTGTTGGGATACAGGTTTCTTTAATGGTGTTCAAGATCCATCTTAAGAAACTCATACAGTCGAAGATAATTTTCCTAGTATCATATGAAAAGTGGAGGTCGTAGGCAATTTAGTCTAAAAGTTATGAGGTTGTACAGTTATGAACTTTTCCATCTATTGAAATTAAGATTAGAAATACTATTTAATAAAGAAATGACCTGTGTTTTATTAGCAGTACAGTTGTACTGATATCCAGTCTTTCTGCAGTAATTGTTTTCTCAGCCAATATGAGAAATGGTAAGCATGCGTTTAGGTGTTTTCCTGTGTTTATTTGCCAAAGAAGCAACAAAGTCCAGTGGTACAAAAAAAGGGAAAGAATGGACTTTTTTCATATTAGAGCATGTGTATGTACAGAAATTGAGGAAAAAGTGGGAATAATTAAGAATTTTACTTATTGTTTAGTATTTCTCATAAACATAGAAAAATTATGTGTAGATTTTATTTTTTCCTGCATTTTCTTTGAAAATTCCCAGTATGGTCAATGAAATCAGTACCTTAGATAATAAATGAAATGAGGAGTTTTGCAAAGCAGCTTTTCTGCTTCATGCTTCTATTTTTATTTTAAAGACTTAGGATAAGACTGTATTTTCTTTCTTGGCATGGTAACGTTGCAGTGGTGGCATTACATGCACGGAGAATGAAATATATAACTTAATATTCAGCATTCATTACTGTGGAGCTGGAGGGGAGAATTTGGCACTTTGGATATTGGCAGGGAAAGTGCTTCTGGATTCTGCACAGGAAGATTTTAGCAGAAAGTAAGTAGCTACTTGATACTAGTTTTTGCACCTCTTGGGATAGAATAATTTGTATCCATCTGAAAGTTTTATCATCTTGACCTCCTGGGAAGGGATGGGAATAGACTTTGAAAAAGTGATTCCTGCTGTAAGCAGTTTTTGCAGGGTCTAGAGCATATTTTGTAGAAAAATGTCAGATTTAAGGATTTCAAGTGCTAGGTGAATCACTTTAATCTTAGGTAGGGTCTAGTATTTAACTGCTGCCATTTAATGAGACTTTCCATACTGATGTTTGAATTTCTCTAGCATTGTTTGCCAAACACAATGTTATTTCTTCCTTGTTTGCAAGTTCCTCCACTACAAAAATCATCCCCAAGTCACTGTTTCTAGTCTACTCTTTAATAAGAAAAGCTTTTACATACAGATGTTTTTACATTCCATTTTTTTTTCTGCTTGGAACTGAGTCCACAATTTTATTTGCTTGCTACCGTAGTTAATAATTATGGAGAAGTTTAAAGCTACAGAAGAAATGTTGATCTTTATCTGAGATAATCATCTGTTTGCAAAGAAAATAAAAGAAAAATTTTGAGCGAGTTTTAAAAGCGACAAAATATATTCACATTTAATATAACTTGAAGATGTACTTATGCAGGTATCCTTCAGATTTTTTCCTCCCTTTTTTTGTTCTTTTTTTTTTGTTTTACTTCAAAGGCAATTTTAAAAAAAAAAAAAACTGACTTGGATTTTTGTCTTTTTTTGGTAAGAACTTACAAAGGAAAGTGAAAGAATGTGGATGATGGATAGTATTTTTCTTGAAAATAATAACTTAGTAGTTTAATAAGCTTTTTTCAATTATAAATCTGATCAACTGTATTTAAAAGGACGTGGAGAGCATATACAACCATCAATCTGTTCAATCTGTGTTATCTGAAAGAGAGTTTGATTTCAGAAAGCATTCCAGTTGCTTGGCATAGTTTTGAAGATGTTAAATGAGAGTTAAATCTTCTTCTAGCATTATTGATCTTCAGGTTTTTGTAATAGGAAATGAGAATTTAAAATGCTGCCAGTGAATAATAGAAGTACTTAAATCTGACAGCACATTGCTGCTGATAAGGGCTTTGCATTAGATGGCAAAACAGCTTGGTTTACTTAAGTCTGAGCAGAAGACTGCAATGTATTTTAAAATATCCAGAGTGATTCAATTCAATAAAGCACTGCAGTTAAACTTCCTCTATGCTTTCCTTTGCCAAAAAAAACTTGTTAAGAGACTTAATGAATCTCTCATATTGCTTCTGACTTAGATTCTAACCATTTTGCAACAGGGACCTGTCTCTGCTTCAACTAGGGCATAGCATCTCATTTAATGACCACAGTTTGCTTTAGAAACATTGTGTCCCGGGTGCTAGTACAATACGTTTAATGGAAGGTCACGATATGTGATGTATTAGGGCACAGTTCTAAGCTAGCTGTATCAGTGACAACAACTGCGCATCTCTCTATTAGTTGTTCATAAACTACTGTATGAATCATTCCCTACCTGCCAGTATCAGCAGGCTGCAGCTGGATCTTTGAACCGTACTGAAGCATTTTGTCAGGATATTTTCTCCATTTCTGTTAAGTTACTTAGAAATATGTATGCTGGCCTGTGAGAAATACTGAGATGCTCAAAAGGTTTGCAGTCTAATCCTTATATCTTTGATGGGGTACTTGCATCTCTTATAATCATCGATTCTGACTGTTGAGGACAATAAAATTCAGAATCTTTGCCTTTGTTCCTTCGGTGAATATGGGAGTTACTTGCATTTTTGCTGTTTAGATAACTTTTGCCAACCTTTCCTATATGTGATATTGTGCATTGACTCCTTGCTCGTATTCCATCAGATGGATAAATAATCAGCACAATTATGATATTTTTCATATATCTGAATGAAAAGTGTCAGAGAAGGACCTGAAGACTGCATGACAGCCTGCAGCAGGCTGTGCCCTTGAATCCTGTCTTGTGCTAAAGCTCAGCAAATCACCTGAGTACATGAATATGTACTTCATGGAGCCGGGAGGTATGTAGGCATCTTCTAAGGGTGAAACTGCTGTAAGGGGCTTTGCTGAAATTGTGAGATGATAAAAAAAAATACTTCTCTCTTTCTGTCTTGCTTGCCTCTGGAGTAGCTGTCTGTTCCTGTATTCAGTAACCCTTGCAACACTGCATCACAGGAAGAGTGTAGGGTAACGTGTATGGCTGGTCAGCATCACATCTCTTCAGGCAGACATAGTCCTGCTGATGCAAGAGCAAAGATTTTGGAGCGGTGAGGAAGAGGACTGGGGAGAGGGGGCAGGTGCCAGCACAGAGGGCAGGTCTTTTAGTGGCACTTCAGGAAGGGGAGTGATCTTCGAGAGGGCAAGACATGATAGTAGAGATTCCCTCCTCCCATAGACCCCACACTTCATTCAGAACAGTCTCATCTCACAAGCATCAGCCTTCTCTGTCTT